TAACTTTTTACTTAGAAAACAAAACACGTTTGTTTTGACACCTGATCTTAAATTTTGATTGGTCAAAATTACTGGGGGTGAACAATTTTTTGTAGGAGCGCTACCTAAAATACTTTAGACGATCCCCTTTTTTGGTTGTATTACCGGCACAAATAAGTAAATCCGGGTATGATGTACGATAATTAAGGGTTACTTGTTTTAGCAGTAAATGGTATTATTTATTTTTTATTGGAAGGATTATGTACAAAAGATTATATCGCTCTCCCTACAAAGCCAGCTCTTTTTATATTTATTTTGCCTTGCTTTTTCCCACAGTCTCTTCATTCAAGAAAATGAAATATTTTCAAATGTAATTACAAAATATGAGGTAACGGCTAAAGATGACTGCAAAATGAGGTAACATTTAGCTATCGAATGCGAATTGTAGTAATAAAGAGAAAAATGAGCAAATTATTATGTAATGTTCGAAAAATGAAGTAATATTATACAAGAAATGTGGTAATCAGCACTTAGCAAAACTCGAATTTAACAATACACTCCGTACTTCGTACTATGTTCCTGGTATACACTCCGTACTTTATGATGAATTGCTTAATGCTTAATTCCATAGAAAATTTAGAAGTTTCCGATCTATCGTGAAAAGATCCTATCGCTAGTCAGGTTATTAGTGATGATTCTAAGCTAGTAAAGGATTTGCCAAAAAAAATAAGGATCTTTATGGTAAGTAATGATTTATCATAATAGATTTATATAAATAGTAACCTAATTTATTTGTAGAAACCGGCTCGTAATATGATACCCAAGTCATTACTATCAATCGTTCGAGAAACATGTGAAGAATTTGTGTTGTGTTATAACGAACATCAGATGGAGGAGATGGAGGTCTTACCAGAAAAATTGGAAAATGATAAATCTTGGAAAGAGGGATGTGAAACTCTCGAGAAAATGACAAAAGGAATCCTCAGTGTCTTGAATGATGCATGGGATAATCCAGCATTTAGCCCAGAATTCGTAGAATCGCAGAGTGAGGGAATCTACGTAACAATCTCATTATGCCACTAAACAGTGCCACTTTAAAAGATCTTCCTTTTGGGAAGTCTTCATATGTTAGCACGTAAGTTATATTTCTAGATATTAGTATATTTAAAGTAATGTTTAAAATGATATATAATTCTATTCTTATTCAGCGCAGAGAAACAGAGCATTGCTATTGCCGATCGAAGAGGCGAAGGGCATTTTGGAAGACGGCCAGATGTAATGTTCGTACTAAAATACGGAGAATATATTTATGAGCTTATATATGCTGAATGTTCCCGCGTAGTGTGCACCGAATGTAAAAAAAATAAATGATAGCACTAAGTTGTGGAGAGAAACTAGCGACGGAATTTTTTGGACCCGCAAAAAATGTTATCCAGAAAAGGATAAATTTGGGATAATTGGAATTCAAGTAGCTGGTATGTTTTTCTTTTACATCTTTTTCATATTGAACTTATTTTTTTTAACGAAGTTAGTTTAGTTTCACTAATACAAGAACAAACATTTTATAGGATGTGAATGTACTTATCAGGGATTCGGGCGATATACACAGATATTTTCATCTTAAATCAACAAAAGTACCCCTCCAACCAGTTGAAGATGTAACAGAATTTGTGGAGACCTTGTTGATTTTGCGGGTATGTTAAAACGAGAAATATAGCAGAATTTTTAGATGTAGCTAACTTATTTATATTTCATAGAATATTTTAGTGGTCAATATGAGTCTTATATTTCATGCACAGGTACGTAGTTCAACTGTTTTCTAAGATCCTGAGTAAAATTGCAACTTATCTTTGAGTTATATTCGTGATTTATTATGTATTTTTTATCATAATCAATAAAGCTGATTTTGTACGCATAATCAGTTTACTTATGCATGTGTATTTTGGGATTTTATTTTAATGTATTGATATTGATGCTATATATGATCGATATTTTTATTTGAAATTAAAAGCATAAAGTAATAAAGAATATTTTCAAGACGTATACAATAAAATTCTTTTTCCGAATTATAATAAAGTTATATCAATTAATATTGATCATGCAAACTCAAAAGACGAATCTAAAGACTTATTTGAAACTGTTTCATTACGAGAATTTAATTCAAAATTATTACCATAATTGCAAAGTTTTAAAAAGGAGAATGCTCTCAAAAAAATATGATGGAATATAAATACTTGGGAGATACAGTATATCCTACGTAAAAAATGCTAGCCAAAATTAAAAAAAATTCATGTTAAATAGCACCATTCAGCTGCCATTCGGCAAGTCATTCAACATTCCATTCGACTAACGATCGCAAACACTCGACGAATATTCGATATGTTTGGGTAAACGGCGTGTTGAATAGCAGCATGTCAAAAAACGGCTGAATGGTGCCATTCGACATGTCGTATTTTTTGAGAAACAATTCAAATTTCATATAAAAGATAGTTATTTGAGCTTCCTAAACCGAGTACAGCAAAACATACGGTACTGTATAAAACATTATCAATTATGTAAGCATATTTTCTCGATCAAAGCCAACCAACCATATTTCTAAGGAAAATACTATTGATGTCAAGGCATCAAGTATCTCATTGAAAGCAATAGTAATAATACAAACCCATGAAATCATTATTTAAGGTGCAATTCACTTTGAAGATTAATTTAAAATAAAAAATAATGCGGTTCTAGAATATTAAGCATTTATACATCAACATACATTCTTTTATTATAAACACCAACTAGCCCAACTTTAAAAACTAAATCTTTTGAAATTTCATATTAAAATGGGTCAAAAGTTCGGCTCCAGTCGTAATATTAATACATTCCAAAGCAAAAAACTTCCATTTATTCTGTTGCTAACCTGCGCTTTAATAAAAATAATTTCTTACGGGTATATTAAATCAAAAAATGAGACTTGATTGTAAAATTAAAATGTTAGAATGGCTGTACTTTCTATAAAAAACCAGGCAGTTTCTGTCTCTAAAAGATTGAATTAAAAAAACTAATAAAGCAATATATAAATAATATGTCATTAGAATAAAGATTATCAATAGAGGTTTTGCAATACAGACTTGGTCCGAGTATTAGATTTAAGCGCGAAACAACTAATTTTCGTCAACTAGTATAATAATAACTCATTATCCGAACTCAATACATGCATATGTGTATGAATAAAAATACTGTAATATGGATGCTTGTTTAAATATACATATTTATCCCACCAATAAATAATTTGTATATGCAAAATAAGTATAAATAAACTTAATACAATATAATCACGTCATCATTAAATCCCATCTCAAGTAGATCTTGTTCAACAGCAACTAACATACCATATGGACCACTAACAATAATTTTTCCATGTATTAAATTATCACCATTTTTTGAATTTGCTAAATCTGGATCAATGCTAAGTATTGATTTATTTGATGATGCTTTCGGTTCTAGGTAAGGTCCCATATCATTTATACGATCTTCATATATTCGATTATCAGGTGGCACAAATAGTGCTCTGAATTCCCTAGAAAGTGTATGTACACTTACAGAATTGTATTGCCGCAGTGGAGACATTTGTGAAATTTCATGTGACTTCATGAATGGTAGTTGATGATATGACGATGAATAACTCCAGCAATTCTCATTTGGGTCACGACGTATAGAATGACTATGAAGAATGTCCGTCTGAGTTTCATTAGGAGACTGAAGGGACACACCCTGCATCATCATATTCATCCAATCTTGTATTATTCGTTTATTAATTCTTCCTTTCAAACCTTCCCAATCAGAAGGCGGCTCTGAGAGACAGAATGTCACAGTTAATTGCCCTTGACTTGAAAGTGCAAGATCTTCAAGTAATATACCATCGATAACATCTTCAATTTTACGGTTCCCAAATAATAAATGCATTCGTCGGTATTTATTGGTATCGTTTTCTCGTTTCATCGACCGTTCCAAATGATACTTGATTAACTGATATATAATTGACCTTAGAAATTATTATCAAATTACTTTGAATACTTGATCAAATATGAATATTAAATTACCTGTAGCATTGGTGTTATTCCGGTACCACCTAAGAAAGTGAAACAAAGGTTATAATAAACATTTTTTATAATAAACGTCAATGTATAGAGTTTATTTAATCCGTACCTGCAATCATATATAATTCATCCCAACAACCATCCGGGCTATTTGGATTTATTAAAGATGTTTTTGCCGTAGATAACGTTTCAGTAAGTCTGGCGGATGGTAAAATGCTCAGACGAGAATTTAACGATGTAGGTGCCAGATATGACTTGCATCTATCACAAGCATCAAATGGGCCACGTACTTGAATATCATACCCTATTAGTTGTTCATTCTAAAAAATGATAACTAGTGTTAATTTAAAAGAAATATTATTAAAAAAGTAAATGTGAATAT